GTTTGAGCTTTCTGAGTTGGCGCAGAAAGAACATTCTTTGTTGTGCTTTTTTGATGACATTTTTGATGGTAGCTGTCCATTTTAGATCTTGCAATATGGTAGAACCTAGAAATTTGAAGGTCTCTACTGTTGATACTGGGTTGTCTAGTATTGATATACTAGGTGGAAGTATGGAAGGGGTTCTCCTAAAGTCTACCACCATTTCTACGATTTTGAGTGTGTTCAGTTCCAGATTGTTCTGGTCGCACCATGAGGTTAGTTGTTCAACCTCCCATTTGTATGCGGACTCATCATTGTCTCGAATGAGACTGATCACTGTTGTGTCATCTGTGAATTTCAGTAGTATAACAGATGGATCGTTAGAGATGCAGCCATTGGTAAACAGAGAGAAGAGAAGTGGGGAGAGCACACAGCCTTGTGGGGCCCCTGTGTTAATTGTACAGGTATCTGATATGATTCTGCTTAACTTCACCTGCTGCTTCCTGTTTGTTAGGAAGCTTTTGATCCACTTACAAGTGTGTTCAGGTATCTGTAGCTGGTCTAGCTTAGTTAGAAGAGTGTCTGGAATGAAGGTATTGAATGCTGAACTAAAGTCTACAAAGAGAACCCTTGTATAGGTCTTTGGAGATTCGAGATGTTGTAGGATGTAGCGCAGAGCCATATTAACAGCATCATCTGTTGATCTATTTGCTTAGTATGCAAATTGCAAGGGGTCTAACAGCGGATCTGTGATGGTTTTCAAGTGGGATAGCACTAGCCTTTCAAAGGTTTTCATGACTACAGGTGTTAGAGCAACTGGTCTGTAGTCATTCAGTTCCTTGATGGTGGGCTTCTTCGGCACTGGGATGATAGTAGAGCATTTGAAGCAAGAAGAAACATAGTGCATCTCTAGCGATTTATTGAAGATTTGGGTGAAGATGGGGGCCAATTGGTCAGCACAGACTTTTAAGCAAGAAGGAGTTATCTTGTCTGGGCCTGGAGCTTTTCCTGGCTTTTGTCTGTGAAATAGGTCTTGCACTTCCTTTTCTGTGATGACTAAGGATTGTAAACCCAATGAGATGGGGTCAGTTGTAGGAGTGTGTCTGTTGTTGGTGTGTCTGAGATGGGGGTGGTGGAGATAGGTGGCTGTAGTTTCATTTCAAACTTGCAGTAAAACACGTTCAGGTCATCTGCCAGCTGTTGATTTCCTTCAGCCTGGGAAGGAGGTTTGCTGTAGCCGGTGATATTTTTAAGAGTTTTCGACATGTTTGCTGGTTCATTTGTTGAGAACTGATTCTTTAGCTTTTCAGAATAGCTTCTTTTTGCTGCTCTGATCTCCCTTGTTAGTACATTTCTGGCTGATTGTACAGCATTTTATCACCTATTCTGTAAGCTTCCTCTTTGGAACAACATAGCTGTTTAAGTTTAGCTGGGAACCAAGGTTTGTTGTTACTGGTCGGTACACATAGGTCTTCACAGAAACTGACATATGATGTTACAGTATCTGTGAGTTCATCCAGGTCTGCAGAGATATCTTCGAAAATATTCCAATCAGTGCAGTCAAAGCAAGCCTGTAGCTTTAACTTTGCCTCCTCAGTCCAAGTCTTCACTGATTTAATTGTTGGTTTTGTGATTTTAAGTCTTTGCCTGTAAGCAAGTACAAGGTGAATCATGCAATGATCAGAGTGTCCTACAGCTGCTCATGGTAAAGACCGATAAACATCTTTTAGTGTTGTGTAGCAATAGTCTAAACCCGTGATGGCGAACCTATGGCACTCGTGCCATAGGTGGTACACGGAGCCATGTTGCCTGGCATGCACAGTGATGCCCGGTCCACTTCCGGATTTCTGGCGCACGCATGCACACTGGCCAGCTACTCTTCTGATTAATGGTGCGCATGCACGTGTGACGATCAGCAGGACTTGACGCAGGCGGCTGTGCCAGAAACCAGAAGATCAGCTGGCCAGCTAATCGTCCCACACGCATGGCCGCCAGTAACCAGAAGACTAGGTGGCTGATGTGCATGCGTGAACCTGAAACCAGAAGTTTATTTCCCAGCACACACATGCCCATTGGGCAGCTTCTCTTAGCACGCATGCGTACCGGCCATGCGATTGACAGCCGCTTCCTGGGATCCACATTGGAGGCCGTTCGTGCCGGCAAACCAGCGCTGCCTTTGCTCGAGGTTTCTCCAAAGAGGGGAATGCTCTTTGCAGAGGCGGAGGCTCCTCTTCCTCCTTCTGCCAACTTCGCTGTTAATTTTGGGGTTTGCCCTGGGGGGAGAGAAAGGTCCTGATTGGGGGCAAATCCTCTTTGTAGATGCAGCAGCAGCTCCTCCTCCTCCTCCCCCCCTCCTGCCAACCTCACTGTAAATCTCAGGGTTTGCCTTACTGGGGAGAAGAAGGGAGGGGCGGGAGAAAGGTGCTGGTGGGAGAGACGTCTGTGGTGCCAGTGACTGCAGCCACGCTCTGGAAAAACTCCCTTGGAGCGCTGATCAGCCATGTGCAAGGTGATGGCCAGAGCAAAAGAAGTAGGATGCCAGACACTCAGACTCCTTGAGAGGCTCCTAGAGACTCCTTGAGAGGCTCCTAGAGAGGTTCTAGAGGCTGGGGGACAGCAAAAAATGTCACTTCCTGTCCCACCGAGAGTTGGGAAATGGGCCCTTTCAGCCTCCGTAGGGCCTCCAAGGGAGTGGGAAATGCTGTTTTCATCCTTCCCAGATGCATAGAGAGGATCTGGAACCAGGTAAAAAAGAAAAACTGCCTACCAGGCCATCATGTGCCAGGAGCGGGGGTGGGTGGGGTTGCGTGCGCATGCGCTTGGGCACGTATGTGCGCGACCCTCCCCCCCCCTCCTGGCACGCGATGGCAAAAAGGTTAGCCATCACTGAGATAGTATATGCCACAGTGAAAGGAAATACGATATTTAATGGTATGAAATGTGCAGGGGACATAACAGCCTCAGTATATCAAATATTTTTTGCTATTTTCTCCCAAATTATCAAATTCAAAAATATGTATTCATTTTAAAAACTATCTGGATCCAAATAAATAGCTGTGCAAGTTGAATGTGAAACTCTCCCATTACTGCTCTTTGCAAAAAAATTTCAAAATATCTAGTAATAGAGATTAGGTAATTCTAGTAATTCCCTAATCTAGTAATGCAGTTTTATATGCAAGCTACTGTAACTTTAAGCAAATTAAATAAAGCATAATAAAAAGAATATTACTTTAGAAATAAAGTTGTTGAAACTTGGTTTCATATTTCTATACTATCAAAGATGCTTTTAAATTTGTTTTTGTGAACGATTGGTAACAATGCTATTCATCTTTCTGTACCAGTAACAATACTATTTATCCATAACTAAATAATACTTTGTACAAAATCCTGTAAACAGCATATGGTTGTCCTTTTAGGAGGCATAATTGTTTCCCTCTAAAGAAACTAAATTTAGATTAGCAACTGTGTCTAAGTATCAATAGAACAATGTTTTGGTTTAACTTACAGTATAATGTTGAAAATTGATGAAAACCCCATTGCTTCAACCACAATTCATTTATTATTCATGTCAGAGGTTTAAAATATCACCCTACTCACGAGTCTTTTGACTTTGAAAACCACATCAAAATGACTAAAAAGGAAGAAATGTGTCAGATTAGACTCTTTATCAACCTGTTAGACAGTTCAAATTTGTTTTCAGCCTGTCTGTATAGCTAAATGCTTATCCTATACAGTGACTTATTGCTGTAAGCATTTTAAAAAGTGAACAAATGTTGAGAAAATAAATCCAACAAAACATAAAAAACAGATTACTCAAGAAATGGAATAACAATTTTCCTGAATATACTTTAAATGTCATAGGATTAGAATCAAATCAATACAATATCCAATACAATATATAAAAAAGAATGTCTGTCTGCCAATGTTTAGTGATTAATATATTCTATGTTATTAATCTTAAATGTAGTAATTTATATTATAGTGCTGTTAAGGAAATGTATAATGAATACTGTTTTTAAATAAAACAAATATAAATTAATTAGATGCTTATATATTCATAAAATAAATGCTAATTGGATTATTAACACTGGTTTGTTTAAAGCTGAAATGGAACTCATTTATGAGAATATTATTTTGTGAGTTCTGAATTTCATATTCTTGAGATAAAACAAGAGGGCTGTGACTATTGGAAGTAGATTAGCAAGTAATGGACATTTTCCAATTAATCTAATTATTCTAATAATATTTCAGTCAAGATTCTTGGCTTCTTTCTTAACAAGTTTGAATCTGAAACAAGAAATGCTGGCCTTGTGAGGGTGACAGTGTCCTAATTATCACATAATGCTAAGTAAAAAAGAGATTCCATGTTCTATTATATAAATCTTTTCAAAGAGATATATTACAATGTATTGGGAACATGTACAAAATCTTTCTTTTTTAAGAATTAAACCGGTCATGCCAGGCAGAATTGACTGATAAAATTTCTCTAGCAAACCTATATAGTTGATCTTGACTTCATCTCATTATGATTTTTCAAAAATAGTATTGGTAAGCAGTGTTCTCATAAAATATTTAAAATTATAGCAGGAATAACTAGAATGTAGATATATTGTTTCAGAATGAATTATTGTTGTTTTTTTGCCCTAGCCCTAGTGTCATTAATTCTACACCTTGGGAAATGCATATTTTTCTAGAAGCAATGGTTTTAAATAGAGATTCCTGAGCAGACTATTTCTATTATAATTACCTATTTTAGAAATGATAAAACAATTATTTGAACCTAAGGTACCTTCTTTGCTTTTACTTCCCCTAAATCCATTTCTTTCAGCCTTGTGTCATTTTAGTCTTCTGTCATTTTAGGCCTGAGGGCAGTATTTGATTTTGTATTATATAAGCTGCTCTAGAAGCTTTTTACACTGAATTTATGGTATAAATGCTTTGAATAAATAATATAGCTTAGATGAACAGTTCTGTTGATTAGTCATATGATAATAAATCTTTCTTAAAATGTCTTTCGACAGGATAAATCTGCAGTTATGAACCTTTTTGCTACTTCTCCCTTTGGGATTATATTATTACTGTCTACCTTGCTACAGAAGAGCAATGGCAAATGTAACGAAGCAGGTTCAAAGAGAGAGATGAATTTGAGCATCCAGTACCAACTTCCATATTTCTTTGCGGAAACCCCGATACAAAATATTATTCTCTACAGACAGCACCTGTATGTAGGTGCAGTCAATAAAATCTATGTCTTAAATGAAACTCTTCACAACGTCTATGAATACAAGACTGGACCTGTTCTGGAGAATCCAAATTGTGCTCCATGTGATGAATGTAAGCCTAAAGGAAATCAATCTGATATTTGGAAAGATAACATTAACATGGCTCTACTCTTTGAAACATACTACGATCATCATCTTATCAGCTGCGGTAGTGTGGCCAAAGGAACCTGTCAGCGCCATGTAATTTATCCTGATAATCCTGCTGACATTGGAAGTAGAGTACACTGCATGTATTCCAAACTGATGGACGAGGAATCAGATGAGTGTCCTGACTGTGTTGTAAGCCCCTTAGGAACCAAAATTCTGGTGGCAGAAAAAGAAAGATTTGTATATTTCTATGTTGGCAATACTGTAAGTAATTCACCCGAGCAGGACCATTTGCTTCATTCAATATCTGTTCGAAGATTAAAAGAAACTCTGGATGGATTTGAGTTCCTCACGGCTTATTCTTACATTGATATTCTTCCAGAATTCAGGGATTCATACCCCATCAAGTATGTTCATGCATTTGAAAAGGACCATTTTGTGTACTTCCTTACCGTTCAAAGAGAATCTCTTGACTCCCAAGCTTTTCATACAAGGATTATACGGTTTTGCTCTTTTGATTCTGAGTTGCATTCATACGTGGAAATGCCCCTTGAATGCATTTACACTGAAAAACGTAAGAAGAGGTCAGCTAAGAGGTCAAATGAGGTATTTAATATTTTACAGGCTGCATATATTGGTAAGCCAGGTGCAACCTTAGCCCAGCAAATGGGCCTTAATATGAATGATGATATTTTATTTGGTGCTTTTGCCCAAAGTAAACCAGACTCTTCAAACCCGACTCCTAAATCTGCTGTCTGTGCAGTTTCTATCAAAACCATCAATGAATTCTTTGGCAAGATTGTAGACAAACAAAACATGAAATGTCTGCAGCATCTCTACAAGAAGAACAACAAATACTGTCTGAACAAGGTAAGTAAATATTGTATTATAGGATGTTAATTATCTAACACTATCTAATTCCCACTGAATGTTCCAGTATTGAATATGTGACTATGCTGATTCTAATAATGAGTAGTAGTTATTATCTTGGACTATATTTTGGCTTTGATCCAGGATATCTTCAGTTATCCAGTGTACTTCAGTTTCACTATTAATGCTAGTTACTGCCAATTGTGATTTATCTTCACATAAAACAGTTGTTATATATAAGTGTTGGATATAAAAGTAATAGGAAGATGCATTCAGAAATTAGAGTTTGCATTAAAAGGTAAAGGTTTCTCTCGCACATATGTGCTAGTTGTTCCTGACTCTAGGGGGCGGTGCTCATCTCCGTTTCAAAGCCAAAGAGCCAGCACTGTCCAAAGACGTCTCCATGGTCATGTGGCCGGCATGACTAAATGCCAAAGGCGCACGGAATGCTGTTACCTTCCCACTTGCATTTTTACATGCTTTCGAACTGCTAAGTTGGCTGAAACTGGGACAAGTAACGGGAGCTCACCCCGTTATGCAGCACTAGGGATTCGAACCACTGAACTGCCGACCTTTTGATCAACAAGCTCAGCGTCTTAGCCAGTGAGCCACCGTGTCCCTAGACATGTTTACATTAGAGATAGTATAAACCCTAAACCCTAAACCCTATTTTCTTCTAATCGTTAAGAAAATGGGTGGTGTTGAGGACACAAATCAAAATAGAGAACTCTACTCAGGTTTAACAAAGCCAAATACCATACATTAACAAAGTGCTTCTGTTCCTGCATAATCTTTCAGTTAAACCACAAGTAGACGAATATAGCAATCAGAAAGCTTTCCAAAATTTCTACTGCAAGTCTTCCAAAATGTTTAGGTATTTATTTATTTTGGGTATTTATTTATAGACCTATTTCCAATAACTCTGGAACAATACAATCATGGATAAAGTTCATGTTCATGGATCTAGAAGACAAACAATGAATAAAAAAACAAAGAAACTTAACAGCAGCTCAACAACCACCTTACCACTGGAAAAGTAGCCCAATTTTCAGTGACTTTCTGAAGGTCATCTGTGGGGAAACTGCACAGATGTTCTGATAGATGGCATTGTTTAATTTTAAAAAATCTGAATGCACCTGCTCTGCCCAATATTATAAGATGGGCAAAATCTGTCCTGCCTCAGATACCCAAATTGTATGCTGTGGAGTTGATAACTAGCAGCTTGACTTTATACCCAAAAGCCAACTGGTAACCAGTGCAGTGGACAGAACAGTGGTATCATATGGTCGAATAAAAAGGGAACAAGATTCAAGGGTTTTGTCATTTTGTCAATTTTAATTTTATTTTCAAAGGAATAAAAGTCCCAAAGGGTTTAGGGGGAAGAGGAAAGTGGCCTTAGAATAGTTTCATTGAAATTAAAAGATGGTTAGCAAACAATCTTGGAAGGCTTTGAATCATTTCTCTGTGGATTGGGGGTATTGCCACTTTAATGATGCGGAAACTGAAATACAGTAAATCTGGGGAGAGATTCAATTTTAGTCATTTTCAGCATGACTTATTAAAGGATGGTAATTCTTTCAGTTTGATTCAGCATAGTCCTCTTAAAGTAGAAACAATTGCATAAGACTTCTGCTTTTGGAATGAGAATAAATTTTGCTTCCCCCTCCCTCAAAAAAGCAAGAACTGCTCAGTTTTTCGTAATTTTTATTTGTTATCTCTTTGCATTGTTTTATTCTTCTAGCAAAACATGCTGATAAAGGGAAGAGAAAAATATAGGAGAGTGAAATGAAGAGCCCCCTAAAATCAAATAAAAAGACATAGTGAAATAAACATATGGTGATATTTATTTATTAAGATGATAGATGAAAGAAATTGAGTTACGCTTATTTTATAATGGGAAGAAGTAATTGCAGCTTTCCATCAGGAAACCAAAGGAGCTTTATTGATCTTTTGTCCTTTGGGTATAGCAACATTTAATAAAATAAAGACAAAATAACGCAAACAGATTTTACAAACATAGGCTTTTCTCATCTTCCCATGGCAGGTTTTCTGGTCATATGTCTAGACCAGAAGTGTCAATCTTGATTTCGTTGAGGGCTGCATCAGGGTTGTTTTTGACCTCGGGTGTGGCCAGGGTGGGTGTGGCCAGCTCGATGTCACTCATGTTGGGGGTGCCTGTGATTGCTTTGCTAGTGAAAACAGGCTCCCAAGCTCCATTTTCGGCTGCGACAGCCTCCTGCAAACCTCTGCCAGTGAAAACAGAGCTCGGGAGGGCCGCAAGTTCTGTTTTCACTGGCAGAGGCACTGTGGGCCGGTCCTTCACTGTTTCCAGGGTGGCTCTGTGGGCCAGATCTAAGCACCCCGGGGGCCAGATTCGGCCCCCGAACCTTGAGTTTGACACCCCTGGTCTAGACAGTTCATATCACTTGTTTTAAACAGATTCTCATGTTTAAAAACATACGCATTACAAATTCATAAAATACAGGGTTGGAGGGTTATTCTACATTTTTATTCGAGTTCAATTCCTGTTACTTTCTGGAATATATAACATTGCCTATTGCATTAATGTCTACTTTTAACCCCGAAAATACATTGGGTCAAATTTGAATAGACATAGGACACAAGTAAACAAAGTTTCTACTCAGCTTATTTCTTCTGTAGAGGAAATAGCAGTGTCTAAGTTTAATAGAGTTTCTGGGTCTCTAGAAGGAAGCAGTTTAAAGCTCAATGCTTTTAAATCCTTCCAACGATATTTTTGCAGCCTGGCAATATAGTTTAGACACCAGTTTGTTCAACACAAAGTGAAAAGTAACGTTTATAGGCTAGCATCTATATATTACTAAAATCTTCATCCTTATGACTTTTTAATTGGGAGAAACTATGTTATAGGTCAACAATTTTTGAAACAAAGAACTTAAAATGGACTAATTTGCAGAATTTGTCTAAAATCTGGCACCCATGTCTCCCGAGGGAGTGACATTTGGGAAAGCTGTGGCTGCTTCAGTGCTACTGGCTGCTCCTGGGCTGCTGCTATGGTCATGTGATTTTCATTTTCAATGTTCCATGACAGTTTCCCAGCCACTCTTACAATTCCTTGCTCCCTCCTCCACCTAACAGCAGTGACTTAAGTGCCTCCCCATAGATGTCTTGGTTTTTCACTATGACATCTGATTCACTACAGCTCTTATATATAAAATTGTACACTAAATCAGTGGATATCCCATTATTATTACTTAGCTTGCCACCCACAATGCAAAAATAAGTCTAAAGCGCACAAAACCAGCTTTGGTTTTGCTTTCAAATGTAAATAGAACCAGCTCTAAGTAGCAATATCATGTTGTTATTAAAAGTTCACTAATTTCCATTGGTCTGTTTTACCTTTACCTGAGATATTGTGCTTTCATGAAGATATAATCATAATCTGGATCAAGCTGACTTGAACTGTGGTAGATTGATAATTAATGTGTATTATCATGCTTAATGATTGTAAACTGCCTAAAATCACTTATGGCTAAATCGGTGGCATATACATTTAATAAATAAATAAATGTGAGTTCAAATCACAGTTCAAATCAATTGTGTTGATAAGAGAGGACTTGTAAGCACATTTGAATGGCTCTGAACAACTCCAAACATCTCTCACTATTGGCCATGTTTTTCAAGGGTCACATTTTCCCTCACCTTATGCTGTGGTCTTGGATTTACTTATTCTATCCTATTTTTTTCCCCTTCCATTCAGTCATGGGAAACTGTCTGGCCTTGCAGTTTTCTTGGCCCTGCAGTTTTTTTGGCAAAGTTTTTCAGCAGTATTTGCCATTGCCTCCTTCCTAAGATTGAGAGAAAGTAACTGACCCAAGATTACCCAGTTGGCTTTGTGCCTAATGCAAGACTAGAATTCACAGTCTCCTGGTTTCTAGCCTGATGCCTTAGACTACAACAAACTGACTCTCATTTTACCCTTATACTAGAATACTTCATATAGGAAGTTGTTTATGATATTTTGTGTAAATTAAGACAGTTTTAGTTCTCATTTAATCACATTGTTTATTTGTCTTTATTTCTCTAACATAACTAATCCTTTTAAATCATGAATATTTGTCTACATTTAACTAAAAAATAATTAGCAGCCATACAGACTTTGCTATAGAAACAGTGCATCATCAAACAATCATCTGCTGAAATACTTTTTGCTTTTTTCTATTTTTGTATGATATATTGTTTGAATTTTGGCAATTCACATATTAATTAGTTAATAGGGTTATACACAGCTGGTTTCTGAAATGATAGCATACCCAGTGATTGCAAGATTAAATTGATTAATACATCTACAACTAATCAATGGGATCTTCTGTGCCATAAATTTATTTATTTATTTATTTTATTTATTTAATTTTTATACCGCCCTTCTCCCGAAGGACTCAGGGCGGTGAACAGTTAAAATAACATACATATAAAATGTGAATATAAGATGATAACGCCAGTTTGGTTCATCGGTTAAGAATCTTCAGCATAAAGATTTAGAACAATTAGAAGAGATTTATGCCAGCCCGGCTTGGTGAAATAGAAAGGTCTTAAGTGCACGACGGAAAGTACGAAGATCTGGGATCATTCGTATCCCTGGGGGTAACCTGTTCCAAGGGGTAGGTGCCCCCACAGAAAAGGCTCTTTCTCTGGGAACCACCAGTCGACATTGCTTTAGTTTGTTTTTTTTTAATTTGATTTATATGCCGCCCTTCTCCGGAGACTCAGGGCGGCTTACAATGCCTTAAGCAATAGCCTTCATACTTTTGTAAATTTATACAAAGTCATCTTATTGCCCCCACAAACTGGGTCCTCAGTAACGGCATCCTGAGGAGGCCCACCCTGTGGGAGCGTGCTGGTTGGTGGGAGGTTATTGGTTGTAGAAGGTGGTCTCATAGGTACCCAGGTCCTAAGCCCTGGAGCACTTTAAAGGTAGGAACCAACACCTTGAAGCGCACTCGGAAGACCACCTGGAGCCA